ATCCCACGCGAGGTCATCATCAGCCTTATCGGCTGTCCGTGTGTTCAACTCGCAAAGACACTATACGTAAAATAAGAAACATAGCAAGAAGAAGGCAATAAGGCGATGAAGTGATGGTATATTCAAGCAAACATTCATTTCGTGTGTCGACAACAACGATAAAGCAGGACCGTTAAGGAAAGGACGTCCACGTTTGGACTGGTCTGCTTCGGCTGCTTCTGCCATCTGATCTTCTAAGGATTTTCTTTTGTTGCGCCGGATGCGGTTGAACAACTTCCTCTTGCCAGGTTGGTCAGTACCAAACCTTGTATAAAAGGCGAAGAGAAGATGTACACACTGGCCTTTGTGGAAAAAGTATTTACACGGGCAAGTGCGAGTAGTTAGATCCACTGACCATCCTTCCTCCGGCTGTTCATCTCTTTCCATTCTAGCCGCATATGCACCAAGTTGCACAGCCACAGCCACAACTTCCATCGACCTCCTCTTCGGCTTCACGTAGATTCGAGGTGTAGCTTTAGAAACGACAAGTACAAAATTGCTGGAGCCGTCGAAGGATGGAGTCTCAACGAGCAGTTGCTGTCGGCGCAAAGCTGTCGCGCGCCGTCGAAGCCTGCTGATAGCGGTAGATGTTTCATGGAATGCAGCACCCGACACGCTCTCCATTCGACAACAAACTCGAAGTTGACCAAGCAAAGACCCCATTAGCATTCGCTCTCGTAAAGTGTAGGTTTTCTTCAGCTTGGCATTGAACGTTTCCACGGGATTATTTGTAGTTGCCCAACCAACAGGCGTACGGAAGCACTGCAATTTCACAAACTTTCCCGTCAGCCACTGCTGCAGAAAATACTCTCCAAATCGCTCGACATCTGGGTCGGCAAGCCACCGCCGCACTGCAGATGCAGCGGGGCTGCCGTAGCTTTAGCGTCAGAGGAAGACGTTCGACTCAAAGAGTCACTGATACTAAGTTCCTTATCCAAAGGACACTTACAGCCCAAGACCAGGGCTCAAAGTTAACACCTTAACTTTTATGCTTCAAAACCAGAAGTGTTTTATTTACTATTATTGCGGCCAAGCCGCCTAGGGGTAAATGTATCTCTTTAACTATCTAGCATAGTTAAACCTAATCAAATGCATAACGTGTGGCTTTCAGCCAACGTACTGAGAGACCTTGTTAACTCTCCAACTTATGTACTGAGAGTTTGTTAACTCTCCGGGTACTTCGTACCCCTGTGTGTTCCACACCATGTAACCCCGTTACAGCAGACGTCTTTTTAGCATGAAATTCCGAGGCGTTTCTTGCGTAATGCATATCAAATATATCGGCCAAGACCAGGCTACGCTTACCGGGTAGTAGATACCTCGTCCGCTCATGAACTTTTGCGATAACGTGGTAAAAGCACATCAAAATCTCTGTTTCACAATCCTCGAACACTGATGCCATCGCATTGTACTGGGCTCCGTCGGCGTCTCCAAGAATGTAGTGCACTACCATCGGCTTCCGCAAAAATCGAGCGTAGATAGCTCAGAGGGATGCAAGCGCACTCGCGTAGTGACGCTCTTCTTGTTGTGACACGACGAACAAAGCAACCAAGTGAAAGGAACGAGAATGGTCAGAAATTCCACAGACAAAGGTAGGATAATCCACTTGGTTCAACTTGTAGGTCGCATCAAAATGCAAAATGAAACTGTGCGGATCACGGTCGAGTCGTTTTAAGAGTGTCTTCGTAGTGAAGCCGACAAAAAATGTGCTAGTGTCGGTTCCTTCACCAATATTGATGTCTCCATTACAATTCATGTTGCTCGAAAACAAAAATGCAGAGCTTTCTTCTTCTAGCCCAGTGTAGGTTTTTGCTCTGGTAACTTCCTCCAGAATATCCAAGTCGTCCGTATTGCTCAATTCAGTCTTGCGGCAATACGTAACAAAACTTTGCACCTTGCTGAGATGCGGAATTTTTTCCGCAGAGGCACCAACAGCCAGCGCGTTTCGAATTCGAGCAGGTTTCAGACCGTTAACAGCTAGTTGGCGCGCCGTTCTCTTTTGTTCCAACGTCAGGCCCGCCAGTAGGAGGATCATTTCCTTTCACTTCGTGTAAACCAAACTCGTAAATATTCACTATGCCGCTTTTGCAGCATACAGCGTCTTGCATTTCCAACGACACCTTAAAGGTGCGACACACGCATCCGCACACGTAGCTGAAGAACACGAGAAGACCCGTATCGCATTGTGTGAGGTGATAGATCCCGTACACACGGCACATATCGATGTGTTGCTGACAGTGACTTTGTGTTTCTTCGCGTGCTTCATGTTTTCCACAATACGCTCGCTTTCCACCTCCGACACCTGCCGATACAGCATAGCCCACGGGAGTGGCTTTCCCATTTGTTAAAGCGGCTGTGTCAGATACATTGTTAGCAATCAAGCAAACAAAATACAATAATTAGGTAGTTTTAGCGTCCGTACGGTAGGTAGAGGATTTCGTCTAGCTACTCACTATGGGCTTACGAGTGCTGCGCGTAGAGAGCAAGGGGAGTCAGGTGGCGTTGTCGGTGGCTGGTCTCGACGTTTCCTACCGCAGATTTTGATTGGATGCGTGTCGGCCAATCTCCGGAGGTTTGTAATCGGTCACTGGTTGGCTAAAATTTAGTTTGTTTGATTACCTGACATTTGGTGGATTGATTGATCTTCTAGTGGATTTGTCAATTCAGCTATGGATTAGTATAGTGTGTTATTTACTGGGCTCACAGATCTGTGGATTAATACTATCTCTGTGTATTGACCTCATAGTACTGTGGACATTTTACGCGTCCTCTCCTAGCTTCCAGTCCAATCCTCTGGAAATACGTTAGTAATGCGATAAAGAAAGTAACATCATATTATGAAATTGAGAGCCAAAGCCCTCTCCATGGCGATGGCGCTTCGTGCTCAGCACGAGCGTAGGCGCGAAACAAGTCGACACCGTTCATAACGTGCGAGCCGTCAAGACCTCAACTATGATTTAGAGCTACTGTCGGCAAATCGCAGCCAGCTCTCGCGCCCAAAACTCGTGAATGTGTGTTGTTAGACTCTTGTTGGCCTATTGATCAATGTGTTGTTAGACGTGCAGTTACTAAGCAGACACAGGTATGCAAGGCTTGATCTACCAGTGCTTTGTTCTGGTAGGCGGGTTTTTTCACGCTCCGCTACACTTCGGGTGTAGCTGTTAGTCGTATGTCCAAACTCGTGGTAGATTCGGGGTAAGACGTGATCGGTGCTCCGCTCAAAAGACCACAGAGTCGTGCCCGTAGTACGAGACCGATCTGTCAACACGAGTGCTGCTGAAATCATCGTTAGTCGTGCAGATGTTGAATAGAATAAAGTCTGTGGTCAGGCTGAAGTTGCACCACATACAGGACAGTAGGACTATGTAAGGACCCAGTGTTGCATCATCGTTAGGACAGGAAGTCGACTTCGTAAGAAAAGGTTTTGCTGCAGCTCTGGCTGCTTGCAGCAAAATAATAGATAAAAGAACGCCTGGGCATGCTGCTCAGTGGCAGCCAAGGCGATTGAAGTAACGTGGGTACTCCATAGATTGCATAATGTAATGTAGAACCGGTTGTGTGTTGGCACTGACATTTATTTCAGAGGATCGGACAGGAAGTATGATTTTTCATGAATTATATCCTGGTGATTTATTAGCCTTCAAAACAAAAGGGTTTCTTGCAAATTCTAAGTGACGCAAAACTGGACCATACAGAACTCAGCAACAACAAAAACCGTGAAATATGATAAATCTCATGCGTGTCGCTCGAACAGTCCACCTCAGGTAAGTACGGCAATATAATAGCCAATGGTTAGCATGTATGCTGCACGAAGGGAGCTTGATCATCCACTTACTTATTAAAGTTTTGAATTGATATTAAAATGTCCATTTACATATTTTTATAATTCGTAGGATGATAGTCCTACACCATTATCGGTGTTTTAATCGAATAATTTGTTTTGTGTTGCTCTGTGCGTGAAGTACTGAATAGAAGGTGCACGGGTTAGGTCGGCAGCTTGACGCTATTTCATTTAACTTTTGGGATTGCATTCCGTAACGGTGCAGAAGAAAAATACGCAAACCTTTTGTGGCTTGGCTTTGTAGAAGGTGATACTGGAGTACTCGGAAAATGGGAAGTTGGACCTCAACGGAAAAAAAAAGAACTTACCGGCTAAACGAAAAAACAAAGTACTTACCGGCTACCTGTAGACTTGGGTAAAATTTAAATTATGAAACGTGGCGCACCGTCAAGACTCGTGGAGCAGGTGGAAGCGTCGGCACTGCCAGTGCCCGCTCGGCGCTGCACATCTTCGTCAGGAAACTCTTGCTGCGATCTGCGCTGTCATTTTCGCTGGGATCACGAGTACACTCCTATATTAATATTAATACGGTACTAAGGTAATTATTAAACCTGCAGTGCGTGGCAGGCCACAGCCCCTCTGAGCCAATGACCAAGCGACACGATAAATCGACTGTTCAACAGTGTATTAGTACTACTAAATACTAAATTAGTAATAGTACTACTACTACAGTCTGCACTTTATACTAGGTAGTAATACTACTGGTACTTAAGTACCGGTACATACATGTACAGTAGTACAGAAGGGCGGTCGGCGTAGAAGAGACGCGCAAATATCGAAGTGCATGTTATTCCGACCCTCAGCATGGGACACCGCGATATTCCAGCCATCTTGGGCTCAGCGCCAGGATTAATCGCCAGATATAAGCTCATTATTACGGGTCCGTGCATGCATGAAGGTTACTGGCCGAGAGCTTGATCGTAGGAAACGGCTTGTCTCCTGGCAGGAGCCCCCTGCGTCACCTGGTCATGGCGAATGCAGGAGTTAACGGCATTATGGAACTGGACGTAAAAATACCTTGCGTTTTGTATCTCGCGAAAGCGCTAGGGTTCGGGGATTGACTCTACTGGCTACGACTCCACTAACGCTTCTGAGCGCCTCACTCGAACATTTTCGCAGTCACGAGCAGAGCCACTTCCACCCACCACCACCTTGCTCCGTTCAGAGCAGGTATTGATTGCCGTTAATAGCAGCGAATCTATCGAACTCTCGCATATTCCAGCTTTTCAACAAGCCAGCGCTTGTCTTCCCACCTAATTTCTATCTTCCCCAGTCAAGAAGTTACCCCACGCGACGGATATGACGCTCAGTGGACCCGTAAAGCAGCAGCTTGAGGCCGCGCGCGGCTACGTGTACCCAACGGACGGCGCATTGGTCCCGGTAAGCACCAAGAAGAGTGTGACTGGCAACCAACTACTCAATGGCTATCGCCACCGCAGCTCCAAGGTCTGGAGCTTCCTCGGTCACAAGCTGGCGGTTATCAAGACAGTCAAGCAGCGTAAGCGTCTTCTCGAGGTCGTGGCTAAGGGCGACATGGCCGAGGTCATGGACGCGCTCAACGCCGGTTCCGACCTGGACACCAAAAACTCGCTGGGCCAGTCGGCCGCGTACGTTGCTGCTTCAAACGGCTTCCACCACATACTGTCGCTGTTGTTGGAGCGTGGTGCGAATGCCAATGACGTGGCACTGGACGGCACCTCGCCACTGCACGCCGCCTGCGAGAACAATCACTGCCGTGCTGCCAAGATCCTCATCAAGTATAACGCACGCGTGGAGGTTACTGCGCTCAACGGTTACGCGCCTTTGCATCTTGCGGCCAAGCACGGCCAAGTGGACATCGTGTCCTCGTTGCTGTCGGCGCGAGCTAAATGTGACTTTCCAGTGAAGAACACGACAACGACGGCGCTTCTGCTGGCCTGTATGGCTGGCCACTCGAGCATCGTCGAGCAGCTTCTGGACGCTGGCGCCGACCCGCAGGTAGACGACGCAGACGGCAACACGCCTTTGCACTTCACGAGTCGCGACGGCAACTACCGCGCAACGTACCTCTTGCTGACCGCCGGAGCAGACCCGGACATGCCGAACGAGCAGGACGAGACGGCGTTTGACATGGCCGAGAAGCAGGGCCACTCGCATGTGCAGTATCTCCTGGAAACCAATGGCATCGGGGTGGATGGCCAAACGGTAGACGAAATGGACATGGCGTACTCTCAGGACGCCCGACTCAGCGAGGCATTGGCTTGCAACCGGCCTGAAATCGCTGAGATAATCGTCAAGCTTCACATGAAGTACGCCGGTTATTTGGCGTTGGGCGCGCTGCCCGAAGATGAGCGCGTGACGGAGTTCTCGGAGAATACCAATCAGTTGCTGTTCTAGCGAGACAAGTGCGCAAGTCAACAACGAGAGTCAAGCTCTATGCGAGAGAGCAAGACGGAATGCTTTTTCTCCATATCAATAAATCTAGCATGATTTCAGCGACAGAGGTGCGAGTCGACGCGTTCATATTTGGATGTTAACTACGTGGTACTTGAAGTAGAAGCTAAGCTTAATATGGAGTGAGCCCCAGAAATCATTTTGAAGAAACAAAAATCGTTTTCTTGAAGTTTGAAGAAATTGCTAATCGGTACTATTAGTAGGACCAACGTCTCCTGTCATAGATTAATACCTGCGGTCATCTGATGCAAACCGCTCTTTTTATAAGCTGTCTAGCTTATAGCTTAAGAAATGTAAACCTTTTGTGGTGGAATTAAAGCCTTTTGGAGGGTGCTCGAAGTTTCCATAGGTGGGTTGATTGAATGGGGAGAAAAATAAGGTCTTCAATTGCTGCAACTCGACAAGGCGGGCGATGATTTTCTAGTCAACCCTCAGCTCAAGTACTGGGGCAAATTTTCCGGGAATTCTTTGGAGACAAAGCTCTCGTGAAGATGCTGATCCCAGCGAAGGAGGTTCAAAGCACCAAGAACATCGCCACCGATTTAGAGAGCTCACTGATCAACACGTGGATTATTGCAAAGAAAATCCCAGCAGTCGTACGCAAACAGCTTGGGGCGGATGAAGCGAGCGCGAAGCTACTGACAACCCACACTACCGCGTATCTAATACTACACAGATGATATTTTCCTTGGTTTATACGTCCTTCGAGAATCCATGCAGCGAGTGTCTATCGACGAGGCGCAATGGTCATGGGCTTGCCACCATTCGCGTTGGGTCCAGCAAGGCCCATATCTTCCAAAAACTTGTCCATACGCGCCGACTCCTTCGCCTAGCAGCACGATCAAGCACAACCTCATCAACTCGGCAACCCACGTTACAATATTCTCCAAAAAAGCCTCGTACCTTCAGACCCGCTAGTTTGTCCTGCTGCTCTTCCTGTTTGCGACGTCGTGCCACATCCCTCTGAGCCATGCGGCGCTTCAGATCGTCATCACCTCCACCTCCGCCCATCAAGAAGGCGTCACTTAGATCAAGTCCATCTCGCGTATCTTCCCGGTCTCTCGCGGCTCCGTGCAGTTTGTCTCCAACTTGGCGTCTCTTCTCGATCTGCGCTTCTCTTCCCGTCGCTCTGGGCGCGAGTTCATCCATCACCACGTCTCGGTACTCTCGATCTCTTCTACGCTCCAGCTTGCGACGTTTTCTGTCTCCTTCTCTATCGCCCTCTCCGTTCTCTTTAGCTCGACGTCTAGACCTGCTCCTGTCTCCTTCTTCTTCTTCTCTTCCCCCCTTCGCTTTCTCGTCAGACACCAGCAAGTTCTTCTTCTTTGTGGCTACATCCACCGAATCTTTGGCTGTTGCCAACTCAAACTTCTCCCTGTCTCCCAGTTTAGACACAAAACCCCATTGATGACGCGTCCGCTTCGTCTGCTCCACCACAGCGTCGGGGAGGCCTTGGTAGAACATCTTGGACAGCTTCCCACGGTTCCATTTCTTCGCAAACTCGTCCGTGAACAGCTCCATGGCCTCGTCCGTCGACAGGTCATCGACATATTTGTTCCTATCGTTGCAAAATAATCATCACAAATGAGATCCATTTTTGGTCTCAGTCGCAGAATCGCCGACTCTGCCACGTACCTGGATTGTGCCAGCCACACGCGAAACTGCTTTTGGCACAGAAAATAGTCCTCTTTTGTGATCTTTTTAGCTCCCTTCGGCAGTTTTGACCCATGTCTAGACAAACGTTCTTCGTCTCTACGACTGGATCTGTGGCTTGACGACGTCCTAGCGTGTCGTCTGCGCTCGCTACGGCCCTTGTCACCTGCATGGCGGGAGATCAGAGGTTAGTCAAAAGAAACATCTACAGAACAGAGGATAAAGAGGGTGACAGACGATGATCTCGGCTCATGTTTGGGGTTTCTTGTCACTCAAATGAGGAGTGGCCCATTGATAAGTACACAGTAACCGGTATTGTGAACCTTGACCAACTAGTTTTAGGATGTATCTAAAATTGCGCTGGCATTTATCCTTTGTTGAAATCTGAGTTGCCATTTTACAGATCAGCAACCGTTTTAAATAACAAAGCTCGTGGTTGCAAGTCT